CCCACTGGCATCATGCGAGCAACCGCTTTGTTAGGTACGGCTGCACGCAAGTATTCATATATACACGTGGCAGACCAGCGTCAATGTGACTGTGCGAATAATCGCGGGCGGGCGAGGGGGGGGGGGGAGGGGGTGCGGTGATCGTCCCGGTCGGGGTGTTGAAGTTTAACAGGGCGCTATAGGGGTACCTTTGTTGGAAGAGGCGCTTTGCAGTGCTTGCTCAGGGAGTTGAATTGTGCTGCTTGGTGGATTTATCCTGCACGCCTTGTGGATTCATCGTGCCATTTGCCTTTCAGCGATTTGAATCATTATAGAATGTAAGCTGTTGACGTCATCATTTTTCTGCTACTTTTTGCTTTTATATTTTTCACATTTTATTATTTTTTGGCTATTTTCAGGTGGTAACTGCACAGGATCACTTATTTCTCCTCGACACATATTGACTGCCGCTCACTGTGTGGTGAACCATGACAAGCCTGGACCGAAAAAACTGTGTAACAACGTTGGTTTATTATTTTACCGTCTTTCTTTACAATCTGCTCCTTCTTTTCTATCTGTTTTTTGCTCAGCCCTCTTCGTCAGTACCCCGGAGAAATGAAAGTGCTGTTTCCTAACCAATGCGCTCATTGCTTCAAGCAGTGGTTCAAAATGTCCAAGGTCCGGTTAGAGGCATTGTCACTTCGTTGATTTTACGGTGCAAAACGCGTTCTAAATTTTAGGTATACTACGGTGACTTCGACGACTGCACTTCTGAAAACGACATAGCTATATTGGAACTTAGTAGAGATGTTCCCGAGTTCATAGCGACACCGATTTGTATGCCGGACAGATACTATCCTGTCGAAGAGCGCTTGAGGGTAGCGGGGACTGGTCGTACAAACCGTATGTTTCCATTCGTGATCGAAAAAAAAACAAGTCGCAGTTAGCTTAGATAGCGGTATAATGGTATGACGTCATGGACTTTTCTGTGATGGGTATGGGTTCGGCGGCACCAACTGTGCACGTCCTGCCGTTGACGAAGAACTTTGCGAAATGCACCCACTTTCCCACCACCGACCAACTACGAACCCGTCACTGGGAAACCGCAACAACGTGCCGTAGCAAGAGCAGCGCGTTCACCGCCCACATTCACAACGATGTCGAGGTGTACCCTTGCAGACCAGAGCAGGCCAGAGGCTGGAATTTCCGGGAGGGAGATCACTCATCGCCGGGAAGGTGATCATATTCGGTTCAGGAACACTTTTTGATTATTGCACATATCCCACCCTTTCCTGGGAATGACACAGTTTCACTATGGCGAATCAGAAAAGACTCACTACTCCCACTCGGCAGGTTTCTCGTGAAGGATGTGAGAAGTGATTTTTCCCCAACGCTGGAACGTGGCCCTTTGGCATATCTGGGTGAGTTATCACACTGCTTCGACGACAGCAAGCCTTCTAGACTAAATTCTAGGTAAGTTTCACGACCGCTAAACCTGTTTCGCAATAAGCTGACTTTCGAAAGTCCTAGATTGTTCCAACACACACACATAATTGACTAATACAGAAGAAAGTTTTGTAATATCGGATTGCTCGTAGAGAGCATGGGGAAATAGGAGGGTCGCAGACAGCTGATAAAGTATGAGGACATAGGAGGGTAGCAGACTGCTGGTACCCCTCTATCGCCATTTCCTCTCTACTCCCGGATGCTGCTGGTCGCCGGTAGACGCTGGCAAACGCAAGCAGACGCTGGTAGCCGTCGGCAGACGCTGATGTATCTGTACTCTTCTAGTCGCTGACGCTGCCAGACGCTTGGAAAGCTGGTGGACGCTATTGGTCACTGGCGAACGCTGCCGCAAAGTATGAACGCAGCCTAAGCGACAGCATTTCAGATGAAATGCGAGAGGTGTGCCTCGAATTT